AGATATATCCCCTGAAACTCGGGTAACTGGGTAACGAGTTCGATCGATGAGTTTAGTTAGTTTAGTGTCCAACTATGATCATCGAACAAAGCCTATCTACATATGTATTTCAATTCGACCAATGGACGACGCAATCACTGTCGCGAAACATCCATTTCCGTTCGATAACGTTCCATTTCTGCGATAGCTCGTGTAAAAACTTTTGCTTCCCTTACAATTAGTACAAAAATAATTGGGCGATTTAGCAATTTATCGAAGACTCGAAAAGATATCCCGGAAATGTATACTTCCCCCCCCCCTCCCCGCTCCCCCCCCCTCCTCTCCACACGTTTCTCATTCGAATTTAATACCTAGCATTCGATAAAACTGCAAAATTGAATTACACGATTCATTCCAAATTTTGTCTGGCATTCTTCTCGAGTCCTCTAAAATATTCAACAATGTTCTTTACGGCTCTCTATCTTTTTTTTTTCTTCCTTTTTTTTCAACTTTTTATACATATCGTTAAACGGGATCCAACAACAACTTCGTGCCACGGTAAAGACGGATCGTTAATTTTCCTATTTTTACGTACATCAATAGCAGCGAGAAACCCGTCTTTTCGCTTCAGTACGCGCTACTATTCGATCTATCGAGCACGAAGCAAAGAACAAAAAAAATTCTTCCGAGTTGTATGACGGAAACGTATTGTCACATGTATTACGGTTGATTTTCGGTTGCGTCAATAAGGAACACATGCTTATCGTTACCATTTGGATAGTACACCAAAATCGGTAGATCACGTCACATACAACGACGTAATGGTGTTCGGTAGATCACGTCACATACAACGACGTAACGGTAGATCACGTCGATGCAAAGTGATAGTAATAAAAAAGGAAGGAAATATTAGAAACGGTACACGATACGATACGATACGATATACATACGTCGTGTACCGAGAAAAGGAAACACAGAAAACGCGAGCAGAACGACAGAGCCAAGCAACCAACTGACCAGGCTGATTAAAACGAGATCGAGCAACGCTCGCTTTACGTATTATCTCCGTAATAAATAAAAATAGGCGAAGAAACACGAAAAGACTTTGCTCGGAGTGAAAACGGAAAGAACGAAGGTGACGAGACAAACAAGAATACTAAAGGATCTATGATGGAAGCAGATTGCCGGAAGATTTCTCGAATTCGGAATTCGTCTGGCCCCGCGGATTGGATCCGGAGGTTGCAAGAATTCTCCTTCAGGCTCTTTGATTAACGGGCGTGCCGGCAGACTGTGAGGCTACGTGGCGATGGTTAATATGCGCCTTCAGATTCCTCTCGTACTTCGAACTGAACGCGCAATGGGGGCAATTAAAGGAAGGCGCCATGCCACATTCGTAAAGCAAGTGCCTCTTGAGTATGTAAGCATTT